TCCTACCCTTCAGTTCTTGTTAATCGTTTACTATGAAAATATAGTAATACTAGGGGCTGCACCCCTGCTTGCATAGCTCACCAACCCTACCTGCCATGCCCCACCAAATTCCCCCCACCGCACCCCCACCCCTAGACACCACTCAAACATCTACATTCGCCCCTCAAACCCCTTCGGACCAGGGATGGGTCTGACAGGTATGTGTCAATCACATGACATCATTTAAAATATTAATTTTATAACAAACATTATCTGGACAACATTCATGTGACAAAGGGATGGATGAAATTGCATTGCACTACGCAGATGAACTGGTAAATAACAATTACAGGCAAATCTGCCCTGCCGCTAACGAGAAGCTGCAGAAGTCTGATTCTTCCATTTGCACAGTCCTTTTAATTAAAAAGAAAAAAAAAATGTAGAGCTGTCATCAGTAATTCCTCACTTCTGCTGCACATATTTTCAAAAATGCTCCTGCCATAGGGCCTTCTTCAGAGGATGCTTGTGTAAATATTTGTTTAAAATAAAATATGTGACTGCCTGTTAATTAAACCCTAATTATGGACTAATTTCCTCATACATTTTGAGATCCACTGTTACCCCATCTCAGTGTTGTAAGATGAAGGATTACATTGGCACCGAGAGATAAATTGGGATGTCTTAGGAAAAGGGGTAAGTGATGGATACTGTATGGTGTGTGTATAAAAGCTGTTAAAATGGCATAAATAAAAGTTAAAGATAAATAAATAAATTGGCATTGAGTAGCCTTCATGGAGAATGTTTTTTCACCCCCCCTAACAAATAGGCAATAAAGGAGAGAAGAAAACTATCGGTGTTTCATTTATCAAGCAAATCACGAGGATTCAAATGTACACAGCAAGATTAAGAAAGCAAAATAGACATAGGGTTGCCTCCAATGTAGTGCTAAATGAAAATCACTCACTGGTTCTGCTGGTGAAACAGAATGCTCTTTGAAGGGTTATGCATAAGCAGGTTGCTGCTAATTTTGTTAAGTGTTGGATTGCAAAATCAGTTGTGCATTGAATTTTCACTAGTGCAACTGCTGCATTGCCTTCCCCAGTTGCACAACATTAAAACCCAATAACTCTTGCACTAGTGAACAGATAAAGCTGGGTATAGCCCATTGTGTCGGTTCAAGTTTAAATCCTACTTAGAGTAGGATTAAAAATGTCCCACTGAAATAATGGGACACGAGTTAGACGTGGCCAATTTAAGCCCTATTGATTCCAATAGGTCTATTATAAGTAGAACTAAGGCTTATTGCTAACCATGTCTAGGGCCCATTGAATCCAGTGGAGCAGGATCATAGCCTAACTCTAGCTCCAACCCATAGAAACTCCCCTCCCACGACAAATAGCTGGCCCAACCCTTGCTAGGCTATTGTGATTACTTGAAACTGTGCATCACCCATAAACTGGAAATTAATAAACGGCTGCAATCCTAACCATGCTTACCAAAAAGCTAACTCCTTCAAAATCAGTTGGAAATACATTGTGGGGGAGAGGTGTTAATGTGAAACAGGCCAGAAGGGGTTAAAAAAAATCTTTATTATTATTTTTTTTAAAAAAAGATATACGAGGTACTGCAAAATACTGTGTTATCAGACATGATCTGATGACCATGTGCATGGTCCATATACAATTATTGATCTCTGATGAACAAATACAAACATGAAATCAAACAAAAATAAATCAACTATAGGTATGTGAATGCATAGAAGGCAGCGACTGGTAGCAGATAAACAAGACACGGTTACAAAACATGGACCCTATGATACCAAGGGAAAGTAATTAAAGTATTCAAATGCTCCAGGTCACTCTATTGGCCATATTCATTTATGGGCCAAGGGGGGTCCCAGGCCATGTTCCTTCTTGCTTAGAAATGAAATAAAGTCAGACCAAATAGGTATGGAATCATCCCTTTTCCTTTGACCCCTGAGAAATCTCAGCTTATTAGTTAGTTTTTCTCGAAGGGCAATAGTACCAAGTAGTAACATTGGGCCCATCTAAACTTTTCCAAAACTGAGGGATGGTCATTCTAACCACTATAAGCTTGCACACCATTGAGTCTTTATTATGCAAATTTTGATTACCCTTGTCCGTTATTTTATTTGCATATTGTATATTGTATTATGCATATTGTCCTATTTATATGATGTTAGCCGCCCTGAGCCTGGCTTTGGCTGGGGAGAGCAGGATACAAATAAAATTTATTATTATTATTATTATTATTATTATTATTATTATTGGTAAATGTGCTAACTGTGAAGTTGAGATAGTGTGGTGGTTTAAGATCATCATTTATTTTTTTCTGAATACTGTTGCCCAAAATTCTTGTACAACCTCACCATAGATGGAGGTAAGATCAAATATCTGAGCATCTTCTTCAGCACCTTGGGGATTTGGATGGGTTTATATATGAAAGTCTCCTTCATGGATCACTGCCTTGTCATGGCAAAGGAGCTTGAATAACTCAATTCTCTGATTCTGTGATTATTATTATTATTACCATACCAGTTTCTCCATACAGAAAAGGGTTATCATGATGACAATATATGATGTTCTATATTATTGTGCAATACAAAGGGAGTAGAAAAGAAAGGGAGAGGGTAAATAAGTTAACAGGAAGATTATTGAACCAGTAATAGTCCAACAAATTAACTAGGTTTCCGTGCATACAAAATTATACATAGAATGAGTAAACGGCAACAAAGCAAAGAAGACAGAGCCTTATTTCTCTTTCAGAAATCTGACAAAGGGACAAAGGTTGCTGAGAGTTGTTAGAAGGTCCCTCACAGAGCTACAGTTCCCAGGGTGGCACTTTGACCCCTCTGTGTCTCCTTCCACTTCCATTTCCCACCCTGCTTGAGGTTGCTACTGAAAACAGATCACCATTCTACACAATTTGAATGTGGTCCTAGAAATGAGATGCAGAACTGTATGTGAGAACAAGGCCTATCCTTTATGCTAATCCACTGATTGCTCAAAAGATGCAGAGCTTCAGTTCACCTGGATGGCAAACACTAATAATAATAATAATAATAATAATAATAATAATAATAATAATAATTTATTTATACTCCACCCATCTGGCAGGGTTTCCCCAGCCACTCTGGGCGGCTTCCAACAAAGATTAAAAATACATTAAAATGTCACACAATAAAAACTTCCCTAAACAGGGATGCCTTCAGATGTCTTCTAAATGTCAGGTAGTTGTTTATCTCTTTCACATTTGATGGGAGGGCGTTCCACAGGGTGGGCACCACTACCGAGAAGGCCCTCTGCCTGGTTCCCTGTAGCTTTGCTTCTCACAGTGAGGGAACTGCTAGAAGGCCCTCGGTGCTGGACCTCAGTGTCCGAGCAGAATGATGGGGGTGGAGATGCTCCTTCAGGTATACAGGACAGAGGCCGTTTAGGGCTTTAAAGGTCAGCACCAACCCTTTGAATTGTGCAAGGAAACGTACTGGGAGCCAATGTAGGTCTTTCAAGACCAGTGTTATGTGGTCTCAGCGGCCACTCCAGTCACCAGTCTAGCTTATTCCACCAGTCGCATTCTGGATTAGTTGTAGTTTCTGGGTCACCTTCAAAGGTAGCCCCATGTAGAGCGCATTGCAGTAGTCCAAGCAGGAGATAACTAGAGCATGCACTACTCTGGCGAGGCAGTCCACAGGCAGATAGGGTCTCAGCCTGTGTACCAGATGGAGATGGTAGACAGCTAGTAGACAGCTTCCATCAGCCCTAGACAGCATGGATCAGTGGTGATGGGAGATACAAATCTGGAGGGCATCCTTGAGGCATCTCCTGTTCTGGTCATTGCATATTTCAAAAGCAACCGGCGGGAAGTGGAGACTGCCAGTGGAGACCCATTTTTTTTTTAGTAGCAGTCACCATTTTCCTGGCAATTGGATCATGCAATTCTGCTAGAAATAATGCCTGCCAGGAAAGGCTGCTGAAGTCAAAAGAACTGTAAAAAGAAAGAGATAAAGGGGGAAGAAGAGCGAAAAAATGAATGCAAGTTGAGAAAATGAATGTACTTCCAAAGAACGAATGACAAAACAAATGTGATTTTAATAAATGACCGGCAAAATGAAAGAACAGTTTAATAACAGAGGAAAGAGGCAGTACTGTAACATTTCCTCCATGTAGATCCTTACATTGTATCTTTTGACAAAAAGCAAAGTTAAAGGAGTATGATTAATATATCCACTCTTGGACTTGATTTGAAGGTTGAATTTATTGGATTCTTTTTTTTTTTTTAAAAAAAAGCATCGAGTTTGATGAGTAATTGCACCTTACAAATTTTATACCACTGCATACTTTTATTTGGTACAACCATGACAACAGCTGAATGTGACTCAAGTCAAGTCATTGAAACAGAAATGGCTCTGTAGAGCTCCTCCAGTAGATGCACTGGCCAACAAGATATAGCGAGAGCTTTAGATGAATTGTTGAATCCTCCAAATCTGTCCCTTGTCCAATAAGGTCCAAATTCAAAGGATAAATCAAGCCCACCCAGCTGGAAGTTGGCACTTTGAGTACAATGGGAACTAACAGGGAGGATCTGCTGTTAAAGAAATGTTGAGTGGCTTTAAATATATCCTGCCTACACCACACTTGTTTGGAATAAACAGCTGCTAGCTTTTCATAGTTGATTTCATATCTTAGCAAGAATGTGTGACAGTTTGTCAGAACATGTTATAGTTTCTAGGTCTTTAATGCCTAATGAACCCTGTTTAGCAGCTCTGAAGCGCTACGTATGCGTTCTGTATTTTACCCTGCTCTTACGGAAGGGATAGTAAGAAAACAGAGGGGCAGGGGAGAAGGGAAATGGGTTTGATTTGATTAGAAAGCCAAGGTAGAAAAGACAAAGCATCCCACAGATATACAGGGATGAACATATTAAATCACAGACAGCAGACTCATCCAGTCATTCTCTCTCAAGCGGTTATCCATTATTTCATGGAGGAAAGTAGAGATGTGGGAAGGGCCATAGAGTAGCTTAGCGGTAGAGCATCTGCTTTGCATTCAGAAGGCCACAGGTTCGATCCCTGTCACTTCCAAGTGGAACTAGGGATGTCCCATGTCTGAAACCCTAGAGCAGTGTTTCCCAAACGTGGGTCTCCAGCTGCTTTTGGACTACAATTCCCATCATCCCAAACTGCTGGTATTGCTAGCCAGGGATAATGGGAGTTGTAGTCCAAAAACTACTGGAGACCCAAGTTTGGGAGCCACTGCATGTCGATGTAGAACAGCCAGAAGCTGTATGATTTTTAATTGTATTTGTGTTGCTTCTTTTCCTTTCTTATATATTGCATTTTGTTGTAGAATTTCAATTGAAATAGAGTAAAATACAATGTAAGAAATAAGATAAGCAGTTAAAATACAATCAAAAATCAATATGAATATTTGTATTTTTAATTTGTGAGTTTTATATACCAACCTTTGCCACAAGATCTCAGGGAGGTTTATAAGATAAAGATGCAAGGTAAAAGCACAAATAAATAGTTAAAAGCGAAAACAACAAAACAACAACCCCTCATACTACAGACACATTTAAAAGGCTGAGGAATATTAATCAGCCAAAGGTCTTGAAGCCCAAAAGGTATATAATGAAGATGTCTGGTGAACCTCCCTGGGGAGAGCATTCCACAAATGGGGAGCCACTGCAGAAAAGGCCCCTTCTCATGTTGCCACCCTCCAGGCCTCACGTGGAAGAGGCACACAAAAAAGGGCCTCATATGAGGAACACAGATTTTGGGTTGGTTTATATGGGGAGAGGCAGTCCTTTCCACATATCTTCTGCACTGGATGTGCTATCACCTGTCTTCAACCACAAATCCACAGTGGACCCCCTGAGTGGAGCTCATGGACCACAGTCTTGGAACCCCCGGTCTAGAAGATACTTCTTATGTTGTGCCTGGTGGCTCAGCCCTCAGCATTGAATCCTCAGGAGCCCTGTTCCACCACTGCCTGCCTATGTTGGTGAGCACATCTGTAGAGTTGAAGCTTGGTCTGCAATCTGTTTTTTTTTTGGGTGACTACGGTTTTGGGGTGTGTGAACTGTCAATTTTGATTTTTCTCAGTTTCTCGTTTTTCCAATCTTAAGTTCAATTTACCTCATTAAATTGTTTTTTAATAGAAAAAGTCATCACGAACATTTGCCAGCAATTTCATGCCCATTTTTCGCAAATGTACTCATATTTGTATGCACTTCCTCTTAACATGCCCAGTTTTTTCAAGCAATGTTTCCTAATATAATGGGGTTTTTTTGGTGTTAATTTTCATTGATGCATTATTTTTGGACACACAATTCCCCCTAATAGATACATTTTTGGTTCACATGCTTTGGTTGGAAGTCTGCATTGTGAAATTCAGAGAAAGGCACCCTTTGATGGATAGCTGCATCCTGATTTTCATATTGTTCCTGGCCGAGCAAATTAGGTGGATTTCCATTCAGACATATTAAAATGCAAAGTGAATGGAATTTCTGCCCCACCCGTAACCTCAGAGTATCTCAGCAAAGTGTGTGTGTGTGTGTGTGTGTGTGTGTGTGTGTGTTTGGGTGTGTATGCATATATATTTGTGTGCAGATTTCCGCTCTGCCTCCTGTGTTTCTACACTTTCTCCAACTGTTAGAGAAAGAGATTCTTCAGAATTGCTAAGAGTCCACATTTCCTTCCCACATCTACTTTGATTCATCCTACCATAAACCGTAGAGATTTAACACAGTGCGTTGGCCCACGCTGAGCATAGAGGAGACTGATGGAAGTCAAGGTCAAGACACACTTGGCTATTTTTGATGCACAAGGCATTTTGAGTGTCTGAAGCTTAGGCTCTGACAGAACCTGAGAAACAAATCAAAAATATATGAAAAGTTCCAAAATCAAGGCACTATAGAAGACAGTAACCATCATTGACTGGGGGAAAAACCAAACAGATCTGGGTTTTTTTTTTTTGTGGGCTCCTTTTTAAAGCAAGAAAGCTCTTTCCTTCGCTGGCTTTTCCAGCTGGTCTGCATTCATCTGAAGCCTCAAAGCTCATTAACGTTTTCACTCTCATTTCACCTCCTCTCTTTTGAAATGGTATCATTGCAAAATTGAATGCAATTTTCTCCAATTGATGCTTGAGAGTCGCTGGAGCTCGTCCGCCAGGTTGCACGAGCAGACATCCTTTTGCTGTTCCATCAAAGGGGCAATAAATATAAATGTAAGTGCCAATAAAAACAAAACACTGATATTTCGGAAGGCTGGGTGCAACATGGAGGGTCATCCTCAATAAAGAAGTAGCCATCATTGGCACCTTGGGGGGATTTTATGCAATGGACTATAATGCCATTGCATCCCCTCCCTCCCCCCAATTGCAGTCACTGGCTTGCTGTAAAAATTGATTAAAATCTTGATATTTCATGTTTGGCCACAGTTAAAGCAAAGCAGAGATGGGGGTGGAAATTGACAGCATTTTCGCTTATGACAGCCTCTCTGATATCCTCAAATGTTACAAAGGGTAGAATAATATAGTTGCTCATTTTACTGTAACTTGCTATTCTGCTTAACGCGGGCATAGGCAAACTCTGGCCCTCCAGATGCTTGGGACTACAATTCCCACCATCCCTAGCTAACAGGACCAGTGGTCAGGGATGATGGGAATTGTAGTCCCAAACATCTGGAGGGCCGGAGTTTGCCTATGCCTGGCTTAACTGATATCTTAAATGATTATCTAAACTGTAGTTCCTATTAGGCAAATACTAGGAACATGGCTTATCCCAGAGAGCTGTGATTCTGGGATATCCTTGGCTAAGGCTTAGAATAGAGGAAAGTGAATATATCAATTACATTTTCTCTCAGTTTCTCATTTTTCTAGCCTTAACTTTGATTCTCCACATTTCCAAATCAGTTTGCATTTTTATTTTTAAGTCTTCATGGAAGTTCATCAGCATTTTAGTGCAAATTTCTTCTTATACACACTGTTTTGTATGTAATTTCTTCTTATACACACTGTTTTGTATGTAATTTTGCCAAATACCCATATATATATTTTCCTAAGGAATTCCCCCTAATAAAATGTGTTCCTGTATGCTATTTTCACTTTCATGTGCCTTCATATGCACAATTTAGCTTAGTATACACATTTTTGTACACATCACTTATCTGGAGAACTTCATTACAAAATTCAGAGATGTGTGAATTTAGAAGGATGACTGCATTTTGGTTCATGTATTTACAGAATCATAGAATTGTAGAGTTGTAGAGATCATCTAGTCCTGCAATGCAAGAATATGCAGCTGTCTCGTACAGGGATCACACCTGCAACCAACTGAGCTATATTGTTTCGGAAGCTAAGAATTCTGTAAGTTCACTTTCATTGTGAACCAAATCGAATCCTACCATCCCTAGCTCGGAATAAAGTTATATTTTCAGATTTTGAAAAGATGTCATCCATATCCAGTGAGGGTGACCGAAGGGCTTTACAGAGAATAGTTCTCTATTTGATTGGCTGTCAGATGGCATCTCCCCACCCCACCCCCAAAAAACACCCACTAGCTTCTTCAGAAGAATATACTAACACTGTTTCCTTTGTTTCTTTGTCTGTTCCTCCTGTTTTCGTTGTTATAAAGCTCTTGAGGTGAACTTTCCTTTCCAATTACTGTGTGTGGCAATTCTTGCCTGTCAACTGATGTGAGTTAGGCAAGTGATGAAAGAAAGCCAGTGTTCCTCTAAAATGGCTGTGAATGTATCCCTAATGGGCAATTCATCTGTAGGTATGGGGAAGGTCACCCGAGACATGTGCTCTTCCACAAAGCTCATCTGGAAGTTCCTTATCATGAACATTAAAAAAAAATAAAAATGAGAAACCGATGTAGAAATAGAGAGAACTGAACTTAAGTTTGGAAAAATGAGAAACTGAAATGGACACATTCAGTCTGCCCTACAAAGCACTTGTCTGAAGTCTAAAGTCCTGGAGAGTGGCTCCCAGTCAGTATAGACAATGGTGTTGAAGTAAGCGTAGTGAAAATGCAGTTAAGAAGCTTAAATCATATACAGTGGTACCTCGGGTTAAGTACTTAATTCGTTCCGGAGGTCCGTTCTTAACCTGAAACTGTTCTTAACCTGAAGCACCACTTTAGCTAATGGGGCCTCCTGCTGCTGCCATGCCGCCGGAGCACGATTTCTGTTCTCATCCTGAGGCAAAGTTCTTAAACTGAAGCACTATTTCTGGGTTAGCAGAGTCTGTAACCTGAAGCTTATGTAACCTGAAGCGTATGTAACTCGAGGTACCACTGTATATGACTGACACCCTTCTTTGGAAATTAAACCAATGTCCAGACTTTAACGTTCAAAAACTTTACTTGCAAAAACTTATGAATTAAAGCATAATATTTACAGTCACATGCTTCTTCAAGCATGGGCTTACAGTCTCTTCTTCTACCTTCCAAACAGCTGTATTTTCCTCTCTTTCCAGAATTCAGCCTTCAGCCCTCTGTATCTCAGTTAGGTCATTGCAGCTCCTATGAGAGATTTCCACTTTTGCATTCTCCTGCAGCGTTGCTCTCTTTCTTTCCAGCAGAGAAGAAGCACTCCAACCAACACTCTATTCAACTTAGCAGTGTTCACAGTGGATTCTAAAGCACAGTAATCTTGCTTCACATGAAATGGAGTCTCTCCTTCACTAGATACTTCCCATGTGACTAATGTTAGTCAATCACATGAGAACTACTAGAAAACTCTCTAGAATTCAGTTACCAACCAATCAAATTTAAACACCTAGTATAATGCATACAAGCACCTACAATTTCAGTGAATTAAATTACTATACTTAGCAAAGTGATGCACCAATTACAAGACTGTTCTACTATTTTACTTGCATTATTTTCTATTGTTCATGATTCCTGGAAACAACAACAACATCTACATGAGCATGTAGCTTGTGGTGGAGGTAGCTAGACTTGTTTCCCATCAATCTTCCCATTTACATTGATTATATCTGTGTAATTCTGTCTGGCATCCAGCTCTAAAGCAATCCTGTCTGAACAAGCGGGAGAGTCAAGACACATTACAATCAT